CCAGGCTGTGCTTGGCCCCGGTCACCTCCCCCAGGGCTGCCCTGCTCCCTTGCTTAGCTCCTGTCTCCCCGGTCCATGCACCATGGGGGCTACGTCTACTGCTCCCCCTGAGCCAAACACCATGGCCCAAACCCCGCTCCCCATTTCTTCCCCTCTGCCAGCTCATACTGCTCCCTGATCCTTGCTAATCCCTACATACACATCCCTTCTCAAACATGAATTCACCTCATCAGAAACCCCCCCACATGCTGGGAAAGGTGATAAAACCTACCTTAGTATTCACAGTGCAGGAGCTAACCTCTCTTTAATGATTAATGTTCTGACTAGCAAACATCCTTTTTAATTTAATATAAATAAGTAGAAATGGTTATGCTGGCAGTGTCATCAATAATCAGGTTTCAAAATAAATTACATTTTATGTTTTCCACGCACACAAAATGTTTTGACACATTTAATTTCTTGCTTTGTTTTCCATGAGAACATAATTTTCAAACTGAGTCAGATCTCCTCGGCTACTTTGCAGATACCCACAAGTTAAAAAAGAGTAACTGTTATAAACTTAATAATATTCTTCTTGAAACAAAGCTATTTAAAAACATTTCATGTACCACGTGGGAGCTTGGCATGGCATGGACCTAACCCCAGCAGATTTAACCAGTAGAATGAATCAGGATAGCAACACTTGGAAAGCACAGTATGTATAAAAAAACCTCATAATCTTGCCATTAGGGAACTGTTCCAAAGTTTATGGGAATCAACTGTGGAAATTTTTACATGGCCTTCTCTAAGCTGTATAGTCTTAAAAGAATTTTGGATGTGAACCCCTAATATGAAGGTGACTTCTTAAGAAAAAACAAGAATGCGCTTTCATTTTAGAACACACATTTGATAAGTCACTCTCCTATATACAAACAGATGAAATTCTTCCCTTCTGGTCTTTGAAAGAAGTCTTAACTGTCCATTGCACCTTACACAATAAAGTTAAATGACCTCTCAGAGATGCATTTCCTGGTGCTCACAGTGCGTTGTCAAGTACATGCTTCAATATCAAGCTGCATATGAATGGCCAAAGCAGTAAGGGACATATATATTATGCAGTTATTTATATGTATTCCTAAAAACCCCTCAATAATTTTTCCTAATGAGATTATAAAAATAAAGTTAAAGTTTACTGGAATGGGTACTGTTCCATAATGTTTTGTGTAGTAATTACGTCCAGCATTGGAGGTAGCATCATTTACATTATGAGTGCTTACAAGGCCTCAGAGTTTTTTTATTTTATTTTTGGAGCTACTAAGCTCTCAAATGTCATTGTAGAGTAAATGCAGTACAACGCTCTAACTTTTAACTCCAAATCACGAACAACAATCTAAATGCAGTTTTAATTTCTCCACTGAAAGAACACAGCATGCATGAGTAAGAAAAAGGTAATTTGATGGTATTGAAAAATCCTGATCTCTACTGTTCTTTATATGAGTTGAGGGTTTTTTTAAGCCAATCAAATACCATTATATAGCATGCCATGCTGCATCACTAATCTCACGAAACATGCTTTATATATATAAGTGTTCGGGGTTTTTATTTTTAAAATTTTTTGTTCCACAACTTTTACCAATGTTATTCCATTTATATTGCTATGTATGGAATACATTTTATTTACAGGGGAGACTGCCACTGCTCAGATATTCACAAAAAAAGCAGAATCTTTCAAATGGCTGCTTTAACATTTTGCCTTCCTGTACAGTATCGGGAATGCATCACTATAGTATTTAAATACTGATTGAATTAAAATATCAGTGGTTAAAGAAGATTATTCCTTTCCTCTACCTACCATTCCTAAAATTCAAGGTTGGTATTTCTTCACTTGCTGCTACACCCTGTGTGGCACTGTGAATTTCAGAAAAAAAAATTAATTGAATGGTTTAATTTCATGTTCTAATCTGAAAGGCCTTCAGAATGGGAATCTGATTTTTCAGTTACATTGTCTGCAAAGCCATGCTTTAGTACACAGTACAGGAGAAACACCTGAAAAGACAGTCTTCTGAAACAAATTTAAAATATTGCTTAATATTCTAAAGAAGAAGTTGGATTTGTATTGAATGAGAAACCAGCCCTGCATGTAAAATAAAGAGTATTCAGCACCGAGTCTCTTGCTCAGTGCTCCAATACTCATATCGGTGGTAGAACACAAATGCCTAATTCTGACTTGGGACAGGGGAAAAGAGAAACAACAAAGCTGAATTTCTGTGTTCACACAGGCTGACTCTGCAGAAGCTTAGTCAGAGGTTAAAGCACTGACAAGCAGTAGGATGTTACAAGATACATTTTGCAGGGAAACTGAGGTGGTTCAGACAGGATAAGCGATGTTGAGGATCAAACCAAGAGATGAAGAAGCAGACCATTTTTCAAGTTCTCTAAGAAGCCTTTATCAACACTTCTTATGGGCCTGGTTGGAAATGAAATATAAGTTACTAATGGCTCTCTTAGATGTAAAGCTGGAGCGTGCTGGAGGGATTCTTCCTAGGCATTGCCTTGGAGTCTCAAAGTATGAACTTGAGAACATCAGTGTTGTTACTCATATCATTCTGCTTCTGATGGGACTGAGGATGAAGCTGCTCACCAGCGTGCCATCACACGTGTAATATTTGTCACGTAGACTAGTGTCCTCCAGCAGTTTGCACTTTGTGTATGCATTGTGCCTACTCAGGGCCAGTAACTGGCATGAACTTTGCTGCCAGGTGAAGAACTGATGTTGATGTGGTCTAGCAACTATAATGAATCGCAACAAATCAAACTCCGTTCCTTCTGTCTTTGCAACCTCATCAGTTGCTGATGTAATCATACCCAGTAGGACCTTTGTTGGGCAGCAACTTGAATCACTGGACTCAGCAGCCAAGTGTTCTTTCTGTTTCTGCTAAATCTGTGAAGGATAAAGTCTTGGCCTATCTTCTGTGGAGGAATGTGGTCACTGGTTTTAAAACACAGATCTCACGGGACTCTGCAGAGCACAGTACACTTCCATTGCAGGGCTTGTGCACCACGAACTATAAACAGATCAAAGGCAAGACTGGAAGTAGAAAGATCCTGCCTGATGAATCCATAACTATGAAGATCAGTTAGTTACGTTTCTAAGAGAAAGAAATGTTAGCCAGTACAAAGGTTGATGTAGCCGTGAGGCTGTGCTGATAAGCGCAAGATAGTTCTGCTGCCAAGTTATTGGAGGTTGCAATTTTGAGGTCAGTTACTCTAGATGATTAGGCTTGATTTTGCCCAGTTTTAGAGCAGGTATGCCAAAGCAAAATTAATTTACAAATTATTTTTTTATTTTAAAAAATGGTATCAGTCACAGTAAAATTAACTTCGAGTTTAAAAAGCACTTAATTCTAATAATAGTTATTGCCTACAGAACTGCACCCGATTTCACATTTTTAAGATGCAAATATAGCTTGGAAAACAACATGGAAGGGCTAAAATAGGAAACATCCATAAATATGCCATGTTTTCCCTACTGAGTTATCTCCAAAATATAAAAGCAGAATAAATTTTGGAGCAAAGAATCTTAATAGATATAGATCTAGCAATCCAGCTAGATATAGATCTAACAGTAAATATAGATTTAACAGTCTAGAATAGATATTTTTGATAAATAGCAGAATGAAAAAATGAAGCTAATTGCAGAAAAAGTAAGGTGCTATAGGAGTTACTCATCATTATAAAACTAAGCATATGCACAGTAGTCTCTTAATTTTCAGTAAGAAGAGTTTGTAGTTAATTTCTGGAGAAAAGATTGAAAAGATGAATCCCAGTGAGCCACAGAATAAATAGTCTAATTATACCGAGTTATCAAATGTTTTATTTTAAAGCCCACATCATGCGTTTCTGGGACCCTGTTCAAGATCTTGTTCCTTGTGTTATACCAGTATTATTATAGCCTGTTTCACTTTGATGTCTACAGAATTTGGGTTGTAAATAATACAAGGAAATACATATTTCAAACCAGATATTTTGTTTTAGTTCTTGATGTGGCAGGAAAACATTTTTATTCATTTCAGCTTCTTGTAAACTACTAATTATTGGCCTCCATTCAAGATTAACGTGTCCTGTTATAATAAAGTAAAATATGTGAAATAATAACAGAAGATTTGAATAGCGTATTTGTGGGAATTTGTTACCATAACTGAGGAAAAAAAAGAGTATCTATCAATACTTACCAAACCACGAGGAAAAGAAGTGTGATGTGCATACCACAAGTAAAATGAATGTATCACAGCTACAACTCCTTATTTTCCATCACATTTAAAAGTCAGCTACTAGAAAAGAGCTCTAAGCAATGATCTTTAAGACAGTGAACTAACATCAGAGAGATCAATGCAGACTAGGTACTTGCAGAAAGAGTCTCTAGGAACGAGATGAACTCCATCATCGGAAGGACTATGGGTAAAATGGGAAACATTTAAAAATTTTTTTAATGGCCAGGATTTCACTGCTGCGTCAAAGTGGTTGATAAATGAATATTTTTATTTGAGGTTATGTTTCCATTGTATATTATGTAACTTAGGCACCAGTGGGTTCTAATGGTTAAAATTTACCATCTCCATATCGCTGTTTTTCAAATAATTTCTCTACAGGCACATATGCATAATATATATATATTAAAAAAAATTTTAAGGACTCTCTACTGAAAAAAAAAAGTCAGAAAGCTTTTTAAGAAAACAGAGCAACAAGTCTCTAATACGAGGACATAGGAATTTACCTGCACGATGTTGTTAATTCAAATGCTTTTCTACTCTTCACCTCAAGATGCACCATGTACATTTAATTTTTCTTTAAGTCAACAGACTTAGGATTTTATTGTGCTATGTAATAAGCACTTCGCCAGTAATTTCTTCTCTTTGGAACTGTGACTATGCACTTCACTTCTCAGGGATTAATGAAACATAGTGATGCATGACATGAATGGCTTTATACAGACTGCAGAAAGAGAAGCCAATCACCTTTACCTGAAGTGGGAGACTTGCAACGCTCTAGCTCCAGGGAAACTGGACTGTCACTGAGTTCAGTCAGGCCTGAAAAAACGGAGTTAAAAAGTTAAGTTACAATCTAACAGGGCATGCTTCAACTTTCTTGGTTGATGATATTCTGCACTTTAAAGTCAATTTGGAGAACGGAACGGTGTGAAATGCGAGGGAAATAGCTATTTCGGATAACTGCAGTTATCAGGCTGTCACTACAGAAATTTAGGTCTGGCTTAAAAAAAAAAAAAAAAAAAAAAAAAAAAAAAAAAAAAAAAAAAATCACACCTCTTGTTAACTCAGATTTGTTTTCTGAGTGCCTCAGGGTGACTGTACCTAACGAGAAAAAACAAGTAAATATACTTTAAAATTTTTATGTCTGTGATATGAACCAAACTCATCTGTTCCTGTCAAACTGATGTGGAAACAACTCTGTGCTTTCAACTGCTGCAAAATGCAGGGAGAAAGGGGGAGAAGATAAAAAAGGAAAAAAAAAAAAAGACAGTACTGGTTAAAGAATAAAGTGAATACAAAAATATCACCACTACTATGCAGTATTAGGAACTTTTCTATGAATTCACACAAGATAGCTCATTTTAAGTCACTCAGAGGAATGATAATGCTGTCTGAATATAACACAATTTTTGGACAAGATACTTTTCTATATTGATTATAAATTTTTCAGGAACTCATTTGTAACAATCTACCGCAGAAGACAGCCGTGAGCAATCTTAGTTTATACTTTTTAAGCTTGTTTCTGTGATCAAACTAAGATCTATCCTTGGCACAGGTTGCATGTACAAGTTAAAACATGCCTTTTTGGCACGCTAGGGACAGAAAGTCCGAGCTCATGCCATCCTTTACTCAGCAACACGTATTCAACTTCACTGTTGAGTGGGTGAAGTGGGCATGGCCATACCTATCCAAACGTCCCCTCTGTATGTATCCCATGGTGCCCTATGGCCTGTATCAAGTGGTTCACACTTGTTATCTGAAGCTCTGACACTTCATGCCATAGGCTACCTGGGACTGGCAGACAGCCTAGCCCCAGACATCCATCTGCTAGCAACGTGGACACACAGCACGCCGGTCCTCAAGCCTAGTGAACATTAGCCCACATTCAGAAGTGCGTTACCGTTGTATGGATACCGCGTTTACACACTCTGCATATGTTGTATCCAAACATCCTATCACAACCTTTCAGTATGCTTTAATCTGCTAGCATGCCTCCTCTTCTGGACCCTCGGGCTCAGAGATCCTCATCTCTAAAGACGCTTTTTTTTTAAAAAAAAAAAATTTGCTACCATCTGGTCACCGGTGCTGTTCTCTTTGTATTAAAAACAGTGGGATCTTAGTGTAGATTATAATTTTAATTTTCATTGCACTGTAATTTTGAACTGCTCTGAGAAATGGGGAGAATCAAGAGCCCCAACAAGCAGAATAAAAAGCTCCTACCACTAATGAAGTTCCATGAGTGCTAGAACAACTTTGGGAGTGCTTTAGAAAAACATCAGTATTGATTTGACCTGGAATAAACATATTTGTCAATTTTTAAGTGTTACCTTTGAATCCATTAAACCTTGTCTTTTGTTCCCCCTTAAGAAAGGGAGCTCAAGCTTTTATTTGTACTACTACTACTACTACTACTACTTATTTTCTACTGTCATTTCCTTTTTAAGTAAACCAAACTAAATCTTTTCAATAATTTATCATGTATTTCCATGCAACTCAGCTTTCCTTGAATGTTTGAGATACTACAACAGCTACTGAAGTTAAACTACAAAAAATATTTCACTTCTCACTTTGAAGTTCTGTAGGCCCAATCTGTGCCACATAACATTTTAGCTATTTTTAGCCAAAAAGCCCCATGTCAGCAAATTTTGAGTCCAGGTAGAGCAAGAAGAACATAGCAGTGAAACAAAAGGAAAATAACTGAGAGTGGCAACATAAACAACCACCTGTGAGAAGATGCACCCATTGACATTATAAAGAAATCGGCTTTGATTTGAACAAATTACAAATGTGAAAACAGTGCAAGACGTAAATATATCACATAAGGCATTAAAGCATTTTTAAAGGCATGGATACCTCTCAAAGTTTACTTTGATTCCCGTTTCCTCTTTATTAAAGATTCAAAAAAATACACTGTCTAGCATGGAGTAAAAAAATGTTATGAACGTATAATTTAAAATAATTTTTGAAATTTAAAATTTCTATATGAATGATTCAGACTGATCATTTACTTAAAAGCACCCATTGCATTTTTGCATAAAATAAATTAATTATAAATAATCATAAATATTCACAAGCCAGTAAGTAAGCCCAGTGTTATCTCATTCCATCATCTTCATACTGAATTACCATACTATGTTTTCTTTATGTTTAAATATGATGCGTTCTTTGGAAATGGCAATTCAGAATATAGCTGTTGACTTAAAACTCAACCTATATTAGCTTCTGCTGTGTTGTCAGGTGTGACTTAAAGTGTCAGTTACTGATATATAATGACTCATAACACACAGTTTTCTGCATCCTCCTGTCAGACCAAGGTTACTTTTGCTCACATCCTCTCAAGGGACTGACATGAAGGAGGTACAAGGACTTCTCACTGAAAAGTCTTCATTCTGAAAATGATTTTCCAATGGATCAACACACTTCGAACTTGCTGACTTTTTGGATGCTTCATAAAGATTATTTATTTTCTTGTTTTACCAACAGATGGCATGAATTTCTAGTAGGAGATGCAAATTGGTTTTGCAAGTTAGTATTTTTATATTTTGCTGCAAACACTATTTCTCTAGATGCAGAAAATGCACTTGTTTTAATATGTGAATATATGTCAACAACACAGTTCTGCACTACTGCACAGAGAGGTTTTATTTTATTTGCCTTGGAACATATTCTTGCTACAAAGGAAGGTGGCTGCCAGCAGATGTTACAACAAATGAAACAGGTCATCAACACCAGAAAGCTAGCTCCAGCTCTGCACTTACCCTCATCTTAGCCTTTTATTTTCCACAGATTACTTCCCCTGATAGGACAATTATGTCTCAGTCTTTACCATTATGTATGCCCAGAACTGATCAAATTCTCCTAATTTCTTCCCTTCTTGTTTCTCTCTTCCCACTTTTACCTCCCAAACCACAGAACGTGCTTTCTTAATGCTCTAAGTCCACTCTAGACACTTTTGAGTCTAGCTTACACATGTTACTCTTGCCAAGCTCTCTATAGATTTATTGGCTAAGATGCAAAACAATTATTCCACTGCTGTGCTTTGTATACTGGATGCCCTTGACATTGTTCATTCTATCCTTCCTTTGGAAAACCTCTCCTCCAACATATCGCTTCTTTTCCTTGTTTGATTCCCCCCCCCCCTTCCCTCTTCAGTTTCAAGGACTGAAACACCAAGACTTCCTTTATCTCTCTGTCCCAGTATTTAAGGAGATTCTCTCCTATAAACAGGGCAATAAATATAAATTTTTACCCTAATAATTCATAAATACACACGTCTAACTTGGATTCCTTCCATCCAAGTAGTAGTAATCCTGTCTTTCTAAAATTTACTCACAAGTGTCCAGACATGAACTTAACATGTCAAAATGAACTCTGATTTTTTGTGCTGAAGTCTTCTCTTCACTACTTCAACACAGCTATCAGCCCTGCTGCCTTCCCTGATACTCTAATCTATAATACTTGTTTCATCCTTGGAACATCACACTTTAACTCTCAGATTCAGGCTGGATACTAAACTAGACTGTTTCTTCCTGCAAATCATCCCCAAAATGACTGACAAATGTCTAAGTATCTTGCTCATTGATAATCTCTTCTTTGGCTTCAGTGCCTGCAAGTCTTATTCTCTCAAACTGATCCTCATGAAATTATCTTCCTTTTTAATTTCTTAATTGAATCAACTCCTGATATGACTTCCCATTAACTTCCATTTTCATTTATATAGCCCTCAAAACTCTAGAGCCAATGCTTATCATGGCTGCTCCTGCTTTTGCCTTAATAACATCAACTTCAACTGCACAATTTCCCAAAATAATTTTTTTTTGCCCCCCCCATCATCATCCGAAAAACTTGTAAGCAAAATCCTAAATCCATTCTCAATACCTCTCACTCATATCTCAGATAAGACATATAACAAAGCATAACTTGAGAATGACTTAGCAAGATATTTTCAAGTCTCTGACACATTCTTGCCCTGTTCTTTATCTTATTGCCTGGTCCATCTTTCAGATCATAGAGTACATACTCCTGTATAAGTATTGAATGAAAAAGCCACAACCAAATAATTTTTGAGGAAAGAAATTAAGCTGTTAATGATCTTGCCTAGGAGTCTGACTCATATTTTTTCAGTTATGACGTATATAGGAAGATTTTGTGGACTTTCCCAATTTTGGGGTTGAAGGTGACAACAAGACAATACATTTTCAGTCATGAAAAACTCTGGTCTGTGTTTGTTATTTTGAAGGAAAATGTTGGTCATTTTTTGTCTTAGAACTTATTAATTTTTTTAGCAGGGGAAAACCCCCAAACCTTTGACTGCTGTTTGTCTGTCAGGTTCACTGTTAGAGATTTGCAATTAGCAAGACCAGACCAACAAACTTCAAGACATTATAAATGAAACTTTTTTATGGACTCCTGGATTTGTAACTGGACTAGTCTTTTAACTAAACAGGACAACCTTTATGAAATACTATGAAATAAAAGCATAGAAATCAGTTGTTGAGTAATCACTCTTCAGAGACAGAATAGAATTTCTTGTGTGAGTGTACAAACGTATTTTAATAGCTACACAACTCTGTATTTATGCAAGATGATAAAACTGCTACCCCTTTTATCTTACCTATATCGAGTATTTAATGTAAAATTGCCTATCCATTTGTTCTGTGAAAACTACTTTTAAAAGAGATGAGTAAGAGGCATCCTGGAGACCTAATTACATATAAGCACTGCAGTTAATTAAGAAACTTACAGCTCATCTGTTGAACAGTCATTTTTGCAAAATTAATTATAGCTTTGTTAATCGCATTCTACAGTGATGAATACTAATATTTAAATTACATATCACTATAATTCTAAATTTAAAGATATTAAAACCATTAATTTTCATAGGTCTCTCTGATGTATGTCTTTTTATACCCACTTTACGTTCCCCATTAAAGATCAGAGGCATGGGATAGTTCCCCAAAGCCAAATATTCAAGTACCAAACCAAGATTAAAATTTTAAATTTCACAGCACCCATTCCAATTGGTACTCTTTTACGCCACATTGTTCTTCTGAAAATATGGAAGGATTAATTAATCATTACAAACAGGCAGTGCCATTGCAAAACAAGAAATGCTTCATGTAAGTAGATGTACACCAAAATGAATATAAAATCAAAGAAAGATACTGTCATCAGGAACAGAACATTGTTAAAAAAGCATTTCTAAGGCCCAGTCTGCCCCATATAAGTGACTGATGTTTTCTCATTGACTCTTTTGGAAGAAGAAAACAGATTTGAAATATCTGTATAATAAAGGTAATTGTCAAAATTAAGCATGGTTGACATCACAAAATATAATAAGTTTGCATGCATGCTGAATGTGTTTAAAAAAAAACACATTACAAAGCACAAACACATGGGTTTAAGTCAGGCATAGTCCATTCATGATAAAGCTATTTGCCTAACCTTTATAGAACTTACTCTGATAGGAAGTACGGATCCGTTTCGTTAAATCTGGATAAAAGTTAGACAGGCCACGCATGCAAAAGTTGTCTTTGGAACATGCCAGTACACCAGCATCAGCAGCAGGCAGAGGAAAGAGAGAAAAAACAGTCTAAAGTGAAAGGAAGTGGTATCATAACCAGCATCTAGAACAGCCAAGGTGAAGAAATTTCAGCAGATGCTTACCTTCCATTTGGGAGATATAACAAGAAAAATAATCAAAAAAGTAAAGGATGTGGGATGGATGGTGAGAAAGCAGCTGAGGCTTTTTTTAGACGCACAGTTTCTATGAGCAATCGTGTATTCCTTCTTAGCGGTCACTTATCCCCGGTGGGCTCCGTTCTAACAGCTCTGCATAACTGGAACGCTGCCTTAAAGGACTGGCCAAGCCCGATACAGAGAAACCCTGTGTGGTACAGTGCTGATGACAGCTATTTCTACATCACCTACCATCCACCTTTTGTACCGAGCTCTGCAGCACGCTGCTTATGGCTAGCTGCTTAAATTACTTTGGGAGCTGCTGTGAGTCTGGCTGAACCAGACAGAGAAGCTGAAGGTAGCTTAAAGCTGCTTGTCTCTTCTCTCCTCAGCTGTGACAAATTTACATTTTTAACACTTGGCACAGATGAGAACTAAGCTTGCCATGATTAAATGCCTAGAAAGTGAGATAAATGGTCTTTCAGGAATGGAAATAGACTTGAAGGCTTACATTTTATCCTCTACATTTTATTTTCTGTTGGGAGTACAAACATATGCCCAGTTTAAAAAATTTTCCATTGACTCTATGGAGAAATAGGATTTGATGATTTAGTGCAGGGCCTGCTGATGAAAATGCTGATGTCATAAACCCACTATAATCTACTGCTTTTCTAACTTTATGGTTAGATTTTAAATTCAACATTTTCAAACAGATTTTTAAATCTAATTCTAAAACTTCACAGCTATGCAAAACACATTTCATAATTGTGTCTGACTCTAGTATGTTACTATGGAATACGCAGAATAAAAAGATTTGAAACATAGAAGATCTGACTTTTTTATCATACAAGTAAATTTTTTAGATAACCAAAAATGTATGGTAAAATTTAGCTGCATTGATAGACTAATATTTCTAACACACAATGCATAATAATAGCTGTGGCTTACAAATGTGATCCTCTTGGCATCAAATATATAATGGGGTACAGATGGATTTAGCATGTTAATGTCAAGAGCATCAATTCACTTACAAAGTGGCTAATTTGAGCTACTTGTGCTACCTACATAACATGTCTCTGAGGTGTTACACTTCTCCAAACACAACTGTCTCTTCAAATACCAATGAATAGCACTTGGCAGAAGATACAATTAAGTTTAAATTGAAGTCTCACCTATTCGTATGAACTCGTTGAAACCAGAAAGAAAAAAGCATACAGACTACGCTTCAAGTGACTGCCAAAGAAACAATTTACTGTTCTGCTCATTATGATTTTTTTTACAGACTCAGCTAAGGGAATTACTTGCTGACCTCCATCCCAAAAGAACGAACTTCATAAAACATTTTGTTTCTGAGAAAGTGTCGGTACCTAAAGCATGGCATGTTTCTTCTGTCAAGTTATAAAACTCCACTGGCCGGCAAATCATCATGCATTTCAAAAGCACTATAAAAAGCCACAGGCAAAAAAAACAAAGAACATATCAGGCTCATAACCACAATAATTTATTTCCTACCTGCAGCAAACTGCTTGCTTTTGCGAGGTGAACGGGGTTGACGCTGGTATGGATCACTTGATCCATATAGGTCAAGGGTTCCCATGCTCAGCAGTACTGTCTTCTGCATAAAGTCCACAACAGCCAAACCATTGCAGTTCCCAAACGCCACTCTGAGAAAATAAACGTTCCTCAAAGGTATTAGGAATATGTAATTAACTGTTGCAAGCAATAATAATTATTTATTATTACAAAGTCTGCACATTTTATTCAGAAACAACTCAAAGCTTACGTTTTGTAATTCTTACAGATTTGTAATCCTGAATTTATAAAATTGTTCCCTGAAACACAGTAATTGACTAACCAGAAAGCAGACTTCCCACTTTAATATAATGTTCTGTGTCAAATGCATTGCAATAATGTCTAAATGTTGCTTTACTGGACAATATAATTCCAGTAATAATGATGTAAATTAAGTCTAAAATCTGGACGTAAATCTGTACTATCTACAGCACTGGCTCAGATTCTATTAGTTGTTACTACACTATGTTTTTTACCCTTCACTTAACACTGACTTTAGTACAGCATCGGTGGAAATACTGTGAGCATACTCTTTTTTTTTTTCCCCTCACTGACTCTTCACTGATCTGCAGCTTAAGCAGCTACGAATATACACCAGGTTAAAGCATGTACAATTACACTTTTATTTGGCAATATTTTGTATTTATGTGGCAAGATCATAAGGTGCACTGAGGAATAAACTCCATGTTTTATGAACAAAGAGTAGTATCTGTTTCAGAAATTACCAAAGCCTGCTATGCTTAACAGAAGAACAAAATAATTTTTAGAGAGTTTTTCTGGGACAAAAAGGAACTCTATCTGCTACATTTGCCAGAAAACCATTATGTGCAAAGTTTTATATGTCTTCGTGTTTCTTGACACAAATTGACTGACAAAGAATAGTCAAAAATTATTTTTCTATTTGCTTTTGGCATTCTTGTATTTTCTTTAAAGCATATATGTTAATAGGCATTGTCAGAGAAAGGGTACTGAAGTAAAAAAGATTATTAGCGTAAAGTGTGACAGCAATTCCTGTGTTCCTAAGTTGCTATGTTCTAGATGGAAAAGTAAAGGAATAAAACTGATGAGTGTCAATCTCATCTGTTATTCCTTCAGGGAACAGAAATTATAACCATCTGCATTTTGAAAATTATTAACTTAAGATTTATTAATTTTGGAAAACATGAGTCACAAGAAGAGCTGGTGATCATTCACTCTGTGGCCAGCAAATTAACAAAACAGATCATTACTTCCTGGTCTGCATTTTTCTAACCTTCTCTAAGTTCACACACAAGCACGGATATAATATTTCTTCTAACTAAAAAGATTACCAAGAAAAATCAGAAACTGCTCATTAATGTTATAACACTGCTGAGGAATGATAAGAAAATCTAGACAGATATTACTATTAACAAGGCGTAAGATAAATTGCTAACGTCCAAGTCTTTATGAAATCAAACCCAAAATAAGCATAATGAATTTCTCAGTTTTGAGTGATGAATAGAATTAGTTGCTTGATGTTCTATTCTGTGGGCATCTTTCACAGAAATGTCATAAAATCCTCATAGGGCATTTCTTCACAATTAATATGTAAATTGGCTAAAACTTTTTATCACATGAGCTGGTAATAAATCTTTAACGACTGCTTTCAGTCCAATAGAACATACTTTAAAACAAAGTTATTATTTGTATTTAACCTTGTTGATCTTCAGTTGTAACTGAAGCATTTTGTAAATTTTTCTTTCCTAGTTTCATACCATAAAGAAGGCTTTGGTGATCCATTTCAACAGAAATAAACAGGTGTTAATACTGCTAATTTGTAACTTGGTACTATTAAAAGTAAACAAAATACATTAAATAAAATTTTGCAATGTCTGAAGTCTTTTATCTTTGCTGGGGATAAAGGTTGTTTGGGTTTTTTTTTATATATCTTACTTTAGTACTGTCCCATGGCTGCAGTAACATCAGAGACCCTAAGTTTCTATTATTTGTAATATACAGTTACAGAAATCAAAGTAACTAAAAGAATACTGGAAGTAGACACTCCAGAACACACCTTCCTATGCCTTCCTCCTAGTTAAACTGATATTATAGGAAAAAAGTATAGGCAAAAGATGACCCAAATAACCCTACAACTAACACGGCAAAAATGACATATCCTCAAGCTTCCTGCTGAAGTGAAACAGTTTGTCTACATTGTGAGGCTAGATAACAGGAAAAAACGAAAGTATTAAATGAAAATTTTGATGAAAAATAGGATTGTACCTTGTCATAAGCCCAAGGAAAAAGTTGAGAGAGACAAGAGAGAGGGAGAGAGAAGAGAGCCTACAGAAAAAATGTAAAGCAATCGGCCTTTCTTGTATAGCTTTTGTAAGAAAGTTAAATTTAGGTTATTGGACTATTTTTTCGATACATGCATTTATTTCCGAAACACTCACGTACTTCATATATGGTGTTTTAAAGGAGGCTGTCCTGTAACTGTTACTGCTTCTAGCAAAGGAAACAATTTAAAGCATTTGATTGAATCAGGTATCCCTAGGAAACCACTGTGAGTATTAGGAAAACTGAAACCTGTTAGTTTACAAGTGAGAGAATGGTGGGACCATCCCTGAAGTCAGATGCTGCTTTGAGGCTTGAGACCTGCAAGTGAGCGAATTAGGCAAAACCCAACAATTTGTACAAGTGACAAACGCATCTAGGTCTGGTAAGACAAAAGAAACTTCGAGAGATCGTGAATAGGAAACTGTCTGGAAATTCAGACCAAAGACTTGACAAAACAGTCCCTAGATGACAACATTTTTGCAGAAATGTAAAGGCTCTGTCTAAAACTTCCAAAGTCTCTGGAGAAAGTCAAGTGACTAACTGAAAATCAGTAGGAGTCAGACACGTAACACCCATTACAGCCTATAGTTTTTACTGGAGTAACACCTTCCAGAGGGAAAACCATTTTAATGTATCTGGGTGATTCTCAGTGAGAGAAAAAATTAAAACTTGGCAAATAAATTTAACCCAAGGGAAAGACAGAGATACGCTCACTTGCATTTCCAAACAGAATTTAGCATTTGAATGTTCCTTATTCAATTTTCAATTTCAGGTCACTGGCTCTCTTGCAAACAGAGATTAGCACAGACATCAAAATGCTTTTCTCAGAAGACTATTTCCAACTAAGATATGATGTCATGATAAATGACATTTAACACTTAATCACGTCACCATTTTCTATGAAATGTATTTCACCTTGGTGATCCCTTCAAAATAACTTTAAAAAAAATTACAGATTTGAAGGGTAATTATATTTGATTTGAAAGGACAGGCGGAATAATGTGAAAAGATTCAGTCTTCGAAATAGAAATAGTAAAAATACTGGCAAGAATAGCAGTTTAACATTTCATATCACAATCTTTATGAGTGTTCAAATAATTTCCCCCCAAGAATCTGGGTTATAGCACCTTCTGATTATTTTTACGCTGCCTTTAATTGTTTGCAGGAAACTTCAAAGTAGTTACAAAATATATGATTTAGTGCAAGAAACAATAAATCAAAGCAACCTTAGTTTTGAGTTACTTACAGTCCATAAGCAGAGTTTACAGCAAGACTGGTAATCTGTTGTGGAGGCTCACCATCCACCCACACCAACTGAATAACAAGATCTGCTTGGTATCCGGGAGGCATTCGCACAGGTCGAGTCTTAACGCTAAGAAGGAGAGGTACAAGATAAGAACAAACAAACAAACAGACTGGTTCGTGAATAACAACTGCTTCTCTTGAGAAAATACTAGTGAAGCACGATGCCTTAGTAAGCCCAGAGCAGTATCAGCACTAGCAGCATCCTGTACATTGAGACTAGGCATTGCAATCAGAACAGGGATGTTTTGGAGGAATTCCAGGTTTTGACTTTCATTTCTGTTGTAGAAACAAATCTAAAAACTTCAACATTTCCTGCAAGAGAAACTCTGGAGAAGATGTAGGTGGGGGTCAATAATAATAATTTTCGATTATTCATTTTGCTTTGATTTTCCTTTTTCAGAATATTTTCTTATGCTATACAACGCACACTTAAAAACTTGTCATGAATAATCAACTTGAAATGAAAACCTAAAATACTTTCCTCTGATACTTTGAAACAGGACGTTTCTGTTTTTTTTGAATTTTCTTGCTCTGAAGTAAAGCACAACATGCAAAGAGCCATGACAAGATGAGAAGATGTACCTTTCTGTAGTGGTCCTCACCACTGCATATTCAAAACTTATTGACAATTCTGTTTCATGGAACCATAGAATGGTTTGGGTTGGAAGGGATCTTAAAGATTGTTTAGTTCCACCCCCCCTGCCATGGTCAGGGACACCTTCCACTAGACCAGGTTGCTCAAAGCCCCATCCAACCTGGCCTGGAACCCTGCCAGGGAGGGGGACCTGTGCCAGTGTATCATCACCCTCACAGTAAAGAATTTCTTCTTTATATCTAATGTAAATCTTCCCTCTTTCAGTTTAAAACTGTTACCCCTCACCCTATCACTGTACTCCCTGATAAAGAGTCCCTCCCCACCTTTCCTGTAGCCCCTTTAAGTACTGGGGGGCCGCTATAAGGTCTCGCTGGAGCCTTCTCTTCTCCAGGCTGAGCACCCTGAACTCTCTCAGCCTGTCCTCCCAGGGGAGGTGCTCCAGCCCCCTGGTCATCTTCGTGACCTCCTCTGGACCTGCTCGAGCAGGGGTCCATGCCCTCCTTATGCTGGAGAGCAAAGGGGGAGAATCCCCTCCCTCACCCTGCTGGCTGGACATGGTTGGCTTTCTGGGCTGCGAGTGCACATTGCTGGCTCATGGTCAGTTTTCCACCCACTAATACCCCATGTCCTTCTCCTTGGGGCTGCTCTCAGTCCAGTCCTCACCCAGCCTGTGTTTGTGCTTGGGATTTCCCTGACCCATGTGCAGACTTTGTTGAACTCGATGAGGTCAGCACGGTCCCACCTCTCCAGCCTGTCCAGGTCCCTCTGGATGGCCCATCCCTTCCCTCCAGCGTGTCAGTTGCACCACACGGCTCGGTGTTGTCAGCAAACTGCTGAGGGTGCCTCGATCCCACTGTCCATGACCCCAACACAGATGTTAAACAGCGCCGGTCCCAACACCAACCCTTGAGGAACACTGCTTGTTACTGCTCTCCACTTGGCCATTGGGCCATTGATTGCAACTCTGTGAGTGTGACCATCCAGACAATTCCTTATCCACCGAGGGGTCCATCCATCAAACCCCTTTCTCTCCAGTTTAGAGACAAGGATGTCATGCGGAACAGTGTCAAAAGCTTTGCAGAAGTCCGGGTAGATGATGTCCATTGCTGTTCCCTTATCCACCAGTGCTCTAACCCTGTTGCAGAAGGCCACCAGATCTGTCAGGCACGATTTGCCCTTAGTGAAGCCATGTTGGCTGTCACCAATCACCTCCTATTCCTCATGTGCCCTAGCATAGGTTCCAGGAGCATTCATTCCATGATCTTGCTGGGCACAGAGGTGAAACTGACTGGCCTGTAGTTCTCTGGATCTTCTTTTATCCTCTTTTTAAAAATGGGGTTATGTCACCCCTTTTCCAGCCCGTGGGAACTTCACCAGACTGCCATGACAGGCCTCCTGGCATTCTTCCTCTTTGTTGGGATGCATCATTCCTGAGCTTGGAGGAGGTGAACCTTAAATATCAACCAGCTTTCTTGGCCCCCCCCCCCCCCCCCCCC